TGGCATCTCTCATATCAAAATTAAAGGAGGCTATCTCCAAGGAGCCTTGTGGGTGCACTTGGCCTTCCTTCTAAGATTAAGGGCTCTTCTCCTAGCCACTCTCATATCCACTTGGCCCCCTTGGGCAAGCCAAGTTTGTATCTAAACGTACATCTCTTATATGATTCTACACTTGTTTTCCCATCACTCTAATACGCTCATGCCAGTCTAGATCAACAGAAGGGCATAGGGACACTGTTGGGTTTGGTGCCACGATTACAAGGCATCCGAGCAACCTCATGACTGTCGCATGAGCTCGTAGGGATTTTGGACATGGTTTATTGGCATTGAATATTTGTCAAGATGCCGCATCCTATTCTCGTTGGAGGGATCTGCACTTGACCAACCTTAGAGAGATCTCGACATGAAGACAACTTTAGAACATGATAAATACAAGTGAGTGCTTCATATCCAAGCAAGTGCTTCATATCCGAGCACGCGTGACCACCATTCCAGCCACTAGGTGAGTTGGCCCATATATCCCAATCAATCAATAAATATAGCCTCTACCTCTATGCATAAAGATGATCTAACCGTCTGCACCTCTTGCTTATAGTTTTGGTTCTTCGCTTTTAGACCTCTATAACAACTCCCTCACTCTTTCTATTCTGAAGGCTGTCTTTGCTTTCACCTAGCTAGTATCTGATGACCTAGTGTCATATCATAATCCACTATACTTCCCAGAAAGCTCCTTTACTAGCTCATGTAGCCTCAAATCACCCACACAACCACATATAGAACTTCAATTTTCTTCCTAATACTAGGTAAGAAAGATCCTTAACAAAATAAAGCATGAAGCAATGTTAGACTAAAAAGAAATAAAGAGTTCGTGCAATCCCTAGGATTCTTTATTAAGCACAATCTTGTTGTGTATTGTTATATTATTGGAAGCATCTAACCCAAAATCGATTGGTAATAGGTGAAAGGGCCTTATAGACTATAGAACTAAGCTTGGGTGACTTAGAGAGGTGGTGTGAGAAAAGTCCCGAACACTCTTGCACATGCGACATAGTCTCTTGTGGGGGTTAAAAAAGAATTTTAAGAGTTTTGTGCAAGCCCTAAGATTCTTTATTAAGCACAATCTTCTTGTAGATTGTTAGAATATTTGAAGCATCCATCCCAAAATCAATTGGCAATAGCTGAAGGGGCCCTCTTGACAATACAAATCAAGCTTCAGTGATTTAGAGAGGCGATTTGGGACAAGTCTCTAACACTTCTCGAACACGAGGCCGAATTTTAACATTTCTTGAACATGCGGTCCAACTGCAAGTGGAGATGAGAGAAACCAAAGAAAGACACCTGGGGTGGAGACTTGGCCCGCAATAAATTACTTAAGACTCAATTCTAACACCATGATAAAAATACTGGAGGCATCGAACCATAAACTTATGAACAATAGGTGGAAGAACCTTTTAGACTATATGAACCAAGTTTGAGTGGCTTAGAAAGGCGATTTAGGTCAAGTTTCCGACATAAATAAAGGGCAGAGGTCACAACAATGAGAATATTAATAATAAGCATTAAGAGAGTGAGAATGGTATTTTTTAGGTCCACATATATTTTGCAAATCATGTCTTAAATATGTTTTTGGTTTTTTGCAGAAAAGAGGGGTAGCTATGGGACAATACCATATGGATGATAGGCTTGTAAACCAACTACTTACCATGGTCTATATCTCTCATATTTCTTTTTTCAATTTTTTCCTTTTATTGTTTCTCCTTGTCAGGCAATACTTGAAAATTTGCATGTCTTTCAGATTGATGGCATGAAAGTAATGAACAATATTTTTATTATTGCTACTACAAATCGAAAAGAGCTCATCGATGAAGCCCTACTGAGGTAACATTCTCTCCCTTTTGTTGTTCTTTGCTGATTTCTTTATTCTTTTTTCTTTTTCAACAATATTCCACATTTTTTGAACTCGAATGGTATGTTCAAAATTTGAATTTATCAGAGTAAAGAAAAATTAAATTATGTACACATATTCATCTTTTTTTTTTTTTTGATAAATAATAACTTTATTAAGAAAGCATCAAGAAGATGCAACAAAACCAAGACAACAAAGGAAGAAAACCAAACTCGCCTAACCAATTACATCATCCAAGAAATTTAAGAAAGAAAATATATCCCGATCCACTTTACATTCTAACCAACTATACAAAGCAACCAAGAAACGATCCTCCAACCACAAAAATATGTGTATATGTACACATATTCATCTTTTATGAGTAACCAAACAAATATGTATAAATAGCTATTTATTAACTTATCATTTTTCTAACTCAAAGAAAAAAAGAAATATAGTTTATCGTATTTGTTTGTAGGGAAGGTAGAATCAAACTACATGTTTAATTAGAGTACCCAGATGAGCGAGGGCGCTTGCAAATTTTGGGCATCAACACAAGGAACATGAGACAAGCTTTTGTACTCGATGAAGATGTGAATCTTCAAGACATTGGTAAATTGTTTGAACAAGAATGTTGTGCAAGTGGAAACATCAATTCATCATTATGAAATGAGATTGTGCATGTGTTTGTTCGCACAGCTTGCATGACGGATGGCTGTAGTGGCTCTGCCCTTTCATCTCTAGTCGGCTGTGCACATTCATATGCTATGGTCCAGGCAGGGGAGAGGGGATTAGTGAAGCATGTCAAGAAGGATGTCAAAGTAACAATGAACCACTTCCTCCGTGCTATGGAAGATATTAAGTCTAGACTTCAGGAATCTGGCCTTGAACCAAGCAGGTAATACACATCAAAATTAATTCTTGTAACTGAATGACATATTGTTCATATCATAGAAAGTTTTATTTCAATTAAAACATCATGCTTTCTATATTTTAGCATGAAATCTTCCTTATTCTTTCTTGATCCCGAGTCCCGACATCCTTAATTATTTAAAACTGGATACCTATTGTTTTCTTCTAACCTTGTCAAAATTGACTACTCAGCAATGGAAAACAAAATCCACTTCCAACCACCTGTTTGGAGTGGTGTAAAGATTTGTTTTCTGCTTAAAGGTCATATGCATTATAGCTGCAAGAATACTTCAAACAAGTGCATTTACACAGATAGAAGTATTATTTTGTCAAAATTTTATCCACGCCTTTCTATTTTTACAATTTGAACAATATCCTATAAATTTTATTCAAGTTATGAAGTGTTCTCCAATAAGGGAGACACTACTATGTGCACCCCTAAAGGGGTGCAAATGGTATGCCCTTCATAACAACCCCACTCAAGCTTGGTTCATATAGTCTAAAGGGTTCTTCCACCTATTGTCAATAAGTTTTTGGTTGGATGCCTCTAGTATTTTTACCATGGTTAGAATTGAGTCTTAAGTAATTTATTGCGGGCCAAGTCTCCACCCCAGGTGTCTTTCATTGGTTTCTCTCATCTCCACTTGCAGTTGGACCGCATGTTCAAGAAATGTTAAAATTCGGCCTCGTGTTCGAGAAGTGTTAGAGACTCGTCCCAAATCGACTCTCTAAGTCACTAAAGCTTGATTCATATTGTCAAGAGGGCCCCTTCAGCTATTGCCAACTGATTTTGGGATGGATGCCTCCAATATTCTAACAATCTAGAAGAAGATTGTGCTTAATAAAGAATCTTAGGGCTTGCACAAAACTCTTAAAATTCTTTTTTTACCTCCACAAGAGACTATGTCGCATGTGCAAGAGTGTTCGGGACTTGTCCTACACCACCTCTCTAAGTCACCCAGGCTTAGTTCTATAGTCTATAGGGCCCTTTCACCTATTACCAATCGATTTTGGGTTAGATGCTTCCAATAATATAACAATACATAATAAGATTGTGCTTAATAAAGAATCCTAGGGATTGCACGAACTCTTTAATTCTTTTTAGTCTAACATTGCATCATGCTTTATTTTGTTAAGGATCTTTCTTACCTAGTATTAGGAAGAAAATTGAAGTTCTATATGTGGTTGTGTGGGTGATTTGAGGCTACATGAGCTAGTAAAGGAGCTTTCTGGGAAGTATGGTGGATTATGATATGACACTAGGTCATCAGATACTAGCTAGGTGAAAGCAAAGACAGCCTTCAGAAGAGAAAGAGTGAGGGAGTTGTTATAGAGGTCTAAAAGTGAAGAACCAAAACTATAAGCAAGAGGTGGAGATGGTTAGATCATCTTTATGAATGGAGGTAGAGGCTATATTTATAGATTGATTGGGCTAAATGGGCCAACTCACCTAGTGGCTAGAATGGTGGTCACGCGTGCTCGGATATGAAGCACTTGCTCGGATATGAAGCACTCACTTGTATTTATCATGTTCTAGAGTTGTCTTCATGTCGAGATCTCTCTAAGGTTGGTCAAGTGTAGATCCCTCCAACAAGAATAGGATGCGGCATCTTGACAAATATTCAATGCCAATAAACCAAGTCCAAAATCCCTACGAGCTCATGCGACAGTCATGAGGTTGCTCGAATGCCTTGTAACCGTGGCACCAAACCCAACGGTGTCCCTATGCCCGTCTATCGATCTAGACTAGCATGAGCGTATTAGAGTGATGGGAAAACAAGTGTAGAATCATATAAGAGATGTACGTTTAGATGCAAACTTGGCTTGCCCAAGGGGGCCCAAGTGGATATGAGAGTGGCTAGGTGAAGAGCCCTTAATCTTGGAAGGAAGGCCTAGTGCACCCACAAGGCTCCTTGGAGATAGCCTCCTTTAATTTTGATATGAGAGATGCCAGATCGTGTAGTGCGTAGAGGTTTTGGGATAAAGGAATTACATGCTCAATACCACTGTCTTGGTGAAGTTATGAAGTAGATATGATGATCACATAAGGTCAGTCAAATGCTTCCTATATGACAAGTTACTTTTTATGTGCAAAACAATTGAGTGCCTACTATTTGGGAACCACTTTCTAAAAAAATGGTTTTTGGGTGGTCATTACCTTTGGGGACTTCAGTTCTTACCTGGTATTTCTGAATTCAAGACTTTTAACAATGACCAACCTTTTTCATATAGAATAGCTTTTCTATGTTGACTGTCTACACTAATTAAAACATAGGTTTTGTATAAACCGATAAAAAATTTAGAAGTGGATGACAAGGTGAATTGCAAATCATAGGGCATAAAAAATAATGTGAAAACAATGCTGATTAATCTGGATTAAGCACTCAATGGTGAATGCTTGTCTTAGAAAAGCATATTGATGTAGAAGCATGAAACTCAAGCCTTGTGTCTTATCTTATTCTCAATGTTTCATATCATAAAAACATGATGAACTTCCAAAACCAAGCTCCTGAAAGAAAAGATTAAATGATCTCACTATGAAATGGACAATGAAGTGAATTTACAATTATGATATGAACTACGCAACTTTACCATATTTGTTTTCATCCTCATTGGCTGCTTTATGTGACCTTATTTCCCTCTCTGATACAACTTGGAATGAATTTAACACATCTGGTCCATTTACAATCTGCATGAATGGGAGGAGAAAAAAAAGTGTCAGAATAAGATAAACAAATGGAGAGAGAGAGAGAGAGAGAGAGAGAGAGAGACCAGAGGTTCTTTTGCGTTTAGTAATTTGCAAATGCTTTGTGCTATTAAGGTTTTTCCAGAACCTGGTGGACCATGTAGTAGCATGCCTCTTACAGGCTTCAAATTCAACCTAGCAGAAGAAAGTCAACAGTTAATAACTATAAGCTAAGAAGCATAGAAACGGACACAAGGCACGCTGACACATAAATTTTCAAGAAGTGTAAGACATGACCTGTGGGGGACACACACAAGATATATGATTTTATATATTATGTCAAATATATTTCATTGAAATTTATAATAAAAAAATGCAGCATAACACTAATATCTAAAGTTTTAAAGAGGGATTAATAATATGTATCCTCTAGGTTATTTTGTTCAAATGTGTATCCACCCAAGTGTCCAAAGTGTCTTTGAGCCTAAAAAATAAAAATAAATAATATGACACATTAGGACACTTTCCACAAGTATCCCTTCACAACTTTATATTGATTTCAATACAATTGCACTACAATTCCACCACCGCCTACTAAAACCAAGTTAACAATTACTAATCATTCTTTTATAGGAGCTGTTACAGTGTCCACTTTTAAAAAGAGACATATTGTATGCACCCTACCCCAACATATGTAACATAACCATAACATTTTATGACAAACACCAGAAAATGTGTAACTTTTCTCACCAAAAATATTTCATAATATTTTCACCACACCGTTCATAACATAATCACAACATTCCTAACATATCCGCAATGGTTTGTAACTTTCACTTTAGGAGTACACATGATACATTCGCTATTCCTTACTTTTACCACAAAGTGGTTTATGATAGAGAGTGTGCCATGTAGCATTTTCCTTCTTTTATAGCAATACAATTTTGATACATTTCAAAACCTCACACAAACAAACAAACTTTTTGCAAGGAACTACTAACCAGTAATGCTAGTGAGTTTGAAAAAGTAATTTAAAAAATTGTCAAAAAAATGAATATGTGAACTAGTGACCACATCACACAAAGTTTGTATCTGCACCACGCATTCATTTATTTATTTATTGTTTTGTACCATGTTAAAAAAAAAGGTACTTATGTAATTCTCTTTTGATAGAACTTTACTCTCTCGAGTAAGGCTGGCAGCCTCTGTTTTAGGGCAACCGGATGAATATTGATTTGGATTATAATTTGAATGAATATTTGAATTACCAAAGGAAATCAGACAATCATACTATACTATAAATAAAAGTAGAAAGAAACTCAGAAGTGGTCAGATTATATTATACCTCTTTGCTAGAGAATGAGGAACCATCTGTGAGCCAAATGCTGACTGCAGTATTTGAGCAAATTGGGAAGTCATACCTCCAATACCAAGTGATATCAGTTCTTCTTCCAGTGATTCCATATTGAAGCCTTCCCTAAATATATTTTTAAATGATTCAGCTCCATGGATTAGGGTACCCTGTGATCAAACATGGCAACAACTTTTAAAATTCACAAATCACATTGATAGATAGTAGATAGATACATATGGAATCTTCATATAGCACTGGTAAGAACGTAGCTAATAATCATCATATTGGTTGGAGTTTTCAAAATTTACAGAGAAAAAAAAAGGCCAACAAACAGACTCAACCAACGCTCCCAAAGCGGCAAAGATTAGCAAACCTTACACTCCTTCACCCAGCGGTTAGGGCACACTGTTGAAACTCAGATCGGACCGTTGGTGGGCAGACGAGGAAGACAGAACGGACGGAGCCCTACAGAGATGGGCCTTAGAGCATTCCACCTAAATTTTAATTTAAAATATTATTAAAAAATTCATTCCCTATTTTAGGAATTATTTTTTTTCTACCTCTTCCAACAAACATTTTATTTTTTTTCTATTCTATTAAAATAATCTTTCAAATTATTTTTAAATTTGAATATTTTTTTAATAATAAAATAATTAAACAATATGGATTAAAATAAAAAATAAAAGCTAAAGGCATAAGAAAGCAACAGAAGCAATATGAATTAAAGTTCAAAACAGAAGAAAGTAGCAGAAGCAAAAGTCAGGGGCCGAACGTTCGGGAGGTCGACCGACTAGATGTCCTGGTAGACGACCGGTGAAGTAAGTTTTGTGGGACATCTGAGTAGACGACCCCTGTCAGATATAAGGGAGTTACAATGACTCCCTACAAATAGAGACGGACTGTAGCAATTCTAAATTTAAGAGATTCTATAAAGAATTTGGTGGAAATGGATTTTAGATGAATCAATCCCTTATAATAACAAAATGCTATTTTAAGAAAATTGATAGCAATGCTCTTAATTTTCATCCATTCTATCCTCAAATCCCCGACGTCCAATCCTTTCGGGTTGACGCCTTCGGCTGAGTGCATTTTGCCGCAGCACTTTCAATATTTTTGAAACACACTCTCATATGCATATTTTCATTCTCATGCTCTTTTAGGCAGGTGGGGGTGTGTGGTGGACATCATTAATAAGGAATGATGATGCGTGGTTTCGGCTATGATAAGTTGATGTGAGGGTAAAACTGTCATTTGGGTGGCATAAATAAATGCAGCTTCCGTATAACGTTGAGATTAGGAGTTTTGTTCCAATTAAACATAATTTTTTGGGAGCCCATGTGATGGTAAAGCTGTCATTTGGGTGGCATAAATAAACGCAGCTTCCATATAAAGTAGAGACTTGTTCCAACCCAACACAATTTTTGTGGAGCCTATGGAATTACTTAGTCCAATTCTATGGCTTTTGGACTATAACTAAAACTAATGTTACAAAAAGAAAAATTATATATAATAATATGACTTATTGTAAAACTTTTGCTTCAAAATAAAATATAATTAAAAATTAAATTATTTACAATAATGGTTAATGTCATATTATTTGTGCCAAGTTTTATTTTATGAATTTTATATATAAATAAAAATTTTCCTCAACAACTAGCAGGTGTATGTCCATCAATATCAATAGCTGTGCGTTAAATTTATAAAATATAAAGTTTAATTTTGATTTAAAAATACATATGTTATGTATTACTCAAGTGGTAAAAAATGGGACTCTTGCATGGTGTACACCCCTGGTGCGGTGCATACCATATACATTCTTATCACAAAATATATAATTTTACCATAAAATTTCATAACATCAACTATAATAAATTAGTATAACAAAAAATATCCTACCTAAGTCACAAACTTTTGCAGCATTAACCACAAAATTGTGGATATTTTTTACGCTAATTTGTGACAATATTGTACATTTTTTAATTAATGTTACAAAATTCTATAATAAAATTATCCATTTTGTGATAGAATGCAAACCATAGCATTTTTAAAAAAAGATGTTCATCAAACCAAAGTCTTGGGTTCCCATTTACGATTGTGTCAATATCATAGAAAGTTTTCACTCTATAGCAATATAGATAAGGGAAATGTTTTGGTGTGCACACCATATGTGCTCTTAGGCCTCATTTGGCGAGTGGTGAATTTAGTCAAAAAGTCAAAAAGTTATTAAAAAACTAAAAAAGCCAAAAATCTATATTAAAAAGTCAAAGATTATCTTTTCTGTCTACTTTTTGCACATTTTTTCGTAACAAATCAAAAAGTCATTCCAAACATATTAATTTTTTTTACATCATATTTTAACTAAAAAATTATAAAATTACTAAAAAACATATTCCCAAACGAGGCCTTAATAAAAAATTATATAAATTTTCGCGAGTTTGTATTAATCTACATAATTTTGTGTTACGATTACATATGGTATTCATTACATACCCAAAAATTTCGGATAGATAGATATAGATGTTTACCAAAAAAGAAAAGAAAAGATAGACATAGATAATATAATATTAAAGAATAAATTTGTCAGAGACACGACACACACGAGCAATACTAAGAAAAAAAAAATTATCAAAAAATCTATTATACACTCGTATAAGCATTTGATAAATATTTTAATAAAATATTTGGAGCGTGCGGCATATTCACACACATAACCTTTGACAATGATTGAATGTGAGATTTATTTAGGATTCATCATTACCAGTGATTGGGGCGGGACTTCAACTATCACTTTTGTGCGCTTTCTGATCAGCCCCTGCTTTGGGCTCCTCAGAGATTCACTCTCCTCGTTCTCACCGAGAGAAATTTCCACAACACTGCATGCATATGAGCTTCCCTTGTATGCAAATAGTACATTCTGATATTCAGTAAAAACCTACGCAGCCCAAAAAAGTGCTCACTCTCAATAAAAACCAGTGATTCTGCATTAACTAATTACTGCTACTAAAAATAAAAAAATTCCCTCAAACAGCACCTGGTGATAGAATGCCTTTATAAATTCTCTCCCCAGGGTGGAAGCCATTATCTGAAGAAGAACGAAATTTGATTAGTGATAATAAGTTAAAAATTTCGCTGTTAAACTAGATTCATTTTAGATGTTGGTTATATATGGAATTGCATGCCATTTGAGTTGGAGTTGAACTTTCAGGAAGTAATTCTACCACGATTCTGAGTACATCCACATCAAACCCACTAGAAGGTGTAGCAAACCTATAAAAATAAAATAAAAACAATTGCAGAATTCATTATATATGAAGGCTATATATGGAGCAGAAACACAACACAACAACAGTAGATTGAACTTACACTTGCAAAAGGATGGTGTCTCCAAATGAAACATCAAGAGATTTGCAATGCTCTGGATTTAGAGATATGTTGCCCTTTGCTACTTTCTCATCCTCTGTATTCTTTATTAGTTAAGGGGTATACTAGCAACATTACCCAAAATTTAAAACAAAAACAGAGAACAACTAATCAAACGAAACTTCACTGTTTTGAGGATATTGAATGCTAAATACATTCTTGCCATTGAGGAGAGCAAGATAGAGCTTCTTCTTCTTCTTCTTCTTCTTCTTCTTCTTCTTCTTCTTCTTCTTCTTCTGGATTATAGTGAAAGGCTAGAGATATGTGGCTCTTTGCTACTTTTTCATCCTCTGTATTCTTTATTAGTTAAGGGTTATACTACTACTAGCAACATTACCCAAAATTTAAAACAAAAACAGAGAACAACTAATCAAACAAAACTTCACTGTTTTGAGGATATTGAATGCTAAATACATTCTTGCCATTGAGGAGAGCAAGATAGAACTTCTTCTTCTTCTTCTTCTTCTTCTTCTTCTTCTTTTTCTTATGGATTATAGTGAAAGGCCATGGAGGTCCTCGTCGAAGGCTCACAGCAAATTGGCTTTATAGTGATTCCGGTTGTCCCTTTACTGTTCTGTTGTATTCCGAACTCGGTCCGTGTAGTTGGTAGTGGTATCTATCTTGTTGCCGTCCTTTAATTCCACTTGGTTGAGTTTTAGGATATTCTACGCAGGGTTGTTACAGGTTGGTTAGGCCTTGGTTTCAATTCCTTAGCCCTGTTTGGTAGAGCTGTGGGAAAGTGCTTATAGCTTATGCCTAAACAGCTTATAGCTTATAACTTTCAGCTTAAGCTGATTTCCAGCTTATTCTTAAAGCATCTCCTGCCCCACTCAAAGAATAAGCTGATTTCTGACTTCCACAAAGCTATAAGCTATAAGCTATAAGCTAAACCAAACACATCAAAATAGCTTAAATTAAGCTGAAAGCTGAAATAAGCTGTAAATAATTTCTGCCAAACAGGCACATTGACTACCGAAGTAACAGTTTGTTCGTTTTCATCTTCATCATCTGAATCCTGCAAAAATTGTTCTTGGACCGAAGCAGCATATTCCGTTAGTGAGGCCGGAATGAAGTACTGCGGAGCATTGTAGACCTCGGTTTGGAAGCTCGAGTGGGAGACCTGTCTGCAAAAGTTCTGGGAGTGTGCATCCGGAGCTCGAGCGGGGGATTGGCCGCTCGAGCGGGAGTCTGTGAGTGACGCTCGAGCGGGGGTTTGGACGCTCGAGCGCGGAGACTTTTATATAAATCTGAGATCCGACTTTTGGATCACTTTTTCAAGATCTTTTCTCTCTCTTACTTTTCCAAAAAGCCATTTTCAGAGCTTCTCACTCTAAAACCGGCCCTTCTCTCTTAGATTTGATCTAGTAGGAGTTGTTTGCTCACTTTTGGTCTTTACGAAAGTTGTGTTGATCGTCGAGGGCTACATTTTAAATCTGAAAATTTTGGAATTTGAAGCATTTTGGTTTTGGTCTTCATCTCCATTGGAGCTCTAACTTCGAGGTAGGGATATCCTACTCCTCTTTATGAGCTTTGTCTTTAAATTTTAGTATTTTGAGATATTGGGGTTGGTTTGGTAATCTTGTGAAAGTTTGGGGCTTTTGTGTAAATTTACAAAAGTTGGGGTTTTAGCTATATAAAACCTAGATACATGTTTGGCATGGAAAAGTGAAAGTAATGTTAAAACATTAATGAAAATGGAACCTAAGGGTTGTAATGTTAATTATGGAAAATTCCCTAATTACATTGGTTAATTAATTTGCAAAATTAATTATGAGAAATGAGGAATTGATTTGGAAAGTTGTGGGATTAAAGGGTGTAGTTGGATTATTTATCACTCACCTAGTTGGAATGTTGATTATATATCCATTGTTGCATTTATTTTCTGTATAGAAATAACTTCTTTGGGCTATCGGTGGAGGATGGTCTTGATTGTTGTAGACAATGCATGAGGATTAGGAAAAACTAAAACTAATCACTGGAATGTGTCATTGAGTTTGACGATTGAACGAATACATTAAATTTATGTGTTG